TCTGCAGTCACAGATCTTGTTTGTTTGCTTCAAAAAAACTTCTAAAAAGCTCCTTAGAGCTGAGAGGGATTTACCTGAACGCTCCCCAAGTGAGATAGAACCAGTCTAGGTGGTTCTGGTCACAGGTGAATAGGAGGTGGCTTCACGAGGAGAAACGGTTGCAGCGGCTTGTTTCAGGGACCGATCCAGGTGAAAAGAAAAACCTGAGCTGTATCAGCGGGTCGGAGCTGTGAAACAGAAATATAGGAATCAGTCCACAAAACCAGAACTGCTACATCTGCTATATTTAAACATCCACCAAGGATTTTCCTCCACGACCTGGAGTTATGAAAGTGTTTTTCTCCATTTCGTGCTGGCGCAGTTCCCAGTGGGCCTCCGTTTGTGAGCCTCGGAGCCTCCTCAGGGACCCTTGGAGACAACGTCAATGTAACCTGCACCGTGCTGGGAGACCCGGAGGTGGAAGTGAGCTTCAGCTGGTCTTATCCTGGTCAGGTGAGAGAAATAAGATGATTAACGAAAAGAATTAAGAACAGATGAGCGACAAGTCTTTTATTTATGTTTGAGTCTGGTAGCATCCATTACGTAAGAGGAGGCGGATTACATCATTAAGAGAAGGGCAAGAGTCTCCATGGAAACTGATGTGAAAATAAATAAATACAGTTTATCCAATCACCTGCTAGGTGTTTCCTTCTACCCCAAACACCTCGTCTATTTCAAAACTCACCAGATTTTTCTGTGGAACAAGCCGTCTATGTCAGCTTGAGGCTGCTTATCAAAATAAATAAAACAGGAAAAACGGTTTTCCTTGCGCACGTTAATGTAGAAGCCCACGAGGAGACCAAACTACATCCCCAGAGGTCGCCTGCAGTTTCCAGACACACGGACTTCAGGGCTTTGGCCTTTGACATGAGTTCAGCTCTAACTAACGGTTAGAAGGGAAAATGGTAGCAACCTAAAGTAGAAACTTTACTACTAAATGTTTGGAACAATAAAGAAAAAAATACAATTATAATTTTAGATATTTTTCAGGAATATTTGTACAAAAATGTTGAAATCTAAAAGCGATTAATTTCTTTGTACCTTATTAACAAACTACTTTTACCATCTGTCATGCTCTCCAGACTGCATGATGTGCATGGTGTATACTGGCTCAAAGTCAAACAATCAAAATGAGCATGAAGCTAAAAGGTGCTGTAAAAGCAGAGAAGAGCTGCGTTAGGTGTGTTGATGCTTGATGGAAATTTAAAGCAAGTGTAGACTAAATCAAAATTGGAACGTGGACTGGATTATTCACTAGTTTAATAGCTGTGTTTCCATTACCGGTACTTCAGGGTAGATTTACAGGAACCTCCCGACATGTGCATGTCTCCACTGGACCGGGCCGGCCGAACGGCCATTTTTAGGAACCTTCTGAGTACCAGACCAGGGGAAGGTACTCCGATCGGCCCGGTGGAGTAGCTGAGCGGAACCTCTGGCTAACTCACGCTGATTGGTTGTAACTCAGTAGGAAATGACATCAGCAGACGATCGCGTTTAAAATCTAACTCCCGAAATCGGAAAACACGGCGTAATTCCCCCACAGCTGTCACTAAACTCCCAACACTGGAAAAAACAGGGAAATTCCCCCAAGACAACTTAATTAACCGGGCTTTGTTGTGTCACAGAGCGCTGTAAAAAACGACACTTCTTCTGGTCATTGAACACCACATTTTACATCATCGATATACTGCGACAGAATAAATACCATTATTGTAATTAATATTACTAGGGATGCAACGATACCACTTTTTTTCCAACCGATACAATACCGATACTTGGATACTTCAAACACACACAAAAAATGCTATGAATTGGAATCCAGGTTTATTTTCTTCTCTGCTTTCAACAGGAAAAGACTGTGAGGCAGATAAAAAGTAAAATATATGAATAGAAATGATCACAAAACTAAAATATTAGGTGAACAAAAATGACAAGTTACAGTGAAGCCACTTTCAAGCAACTGCATTGGTATCGGTTAACTTTAACCGATACTGGTATCGTATCGGTATCGGTAACATCATAGTAACATCCCTAAATGTTACTGTGAACACTTATTGTGGCTGATCAGTGACATCACTCACTGCCAACGCAGTCTTGATATGCTGACGTCTGTGCAAAGATCTGAAAGGGCTGAATTTGAATGATGACACAACAGCTGAGAGGACCAGGACGTCCCATCTCCTGGTCAATTTCCCCATCCCAGGAATTACCCTGGAGTTCCGGTAATGGAAACAGAGCTTATGACCCGATATCTAAACATCTGAGAGACAACACACTCACAGCCATGTCGGTAAACGGTGTGTGTTGTTGTGTATGCTGTAGGATCAGCGTCCTGTTCACATCCAGTCATCCTGGAGGCTGGTTACCAGAGGGATGGGCCACACCACCAGGTTGTCTCAGAGCGTCCTGACTCTGGAGGACATCGAGACCATTGATTTTGGAGATTACATCTGTAAAGCGAAGAACCCGTATGGAGAGACCATCGTTGCAACAAAGATAAACTCTGCGTGATCAAACCAAAGATGTGGCTTCTGAGGTGTGTTAGAGCTGTGAACCAGATCTAATCCACAAACTGATTTTGCTCAATTCTAAAATGCAGTGGTGGGCAGTCAGGGCCAGCAAAGCCTTCTCTGCTGGCCTAAACATACTCAAAAGCGTAAATGTATTTTTTTTCCTTTGGTAATTATTTTTAAATAAAAAAAAATGTTTACTGGTCTATTTTCTTTATATCCTATTATACCCACTTGGCTGTGCTGCTTCCAGTGTTAAAATACCAAGGCTGGGTGTTATCCAATCAGATTTAAGCTAGCTTGTGTTTTCAGGCAGATTAGTCTGATCTAGGCCTTCAGAATCAATCGAGAAGCCCACTGTCCGCTGTAAGTGAACGGAGACGATCTAGTTGTGATAGCTAATCAGCTCACGAGTCAGCTTGGCCCAGGCCAGCTAGCTGGCCTCACGCAAAAGTTGACATGAACGCATCCTGTGATTGGATAAGCAGTAGTTAGAACTTTTCTAGCGGCATGAAGCAAAATATCAAAACTAAACACAGAGATTTGTATCTATAGGCAGCTATCGGTGTATTTTTGAACACATGATGGCTGAAAGAGGAGAAGAGACGGACTTGGTTGCAGATTTACTTGCCACACCATTTTCAAGACGGACCTTTCAAGAAAAAATGGATCTTGTGAGAACAGGTCGTCTGACTCCAACGCTAGCTGGCTTGTCCCAGCAGGGGAAAGGATTTGTTCGTCATTTTCAGGCAAGCAACTATGAACGGTACCCATGGCTAACAGCTTCAGAGAACCGCTGCAGGTTATTCTGCTGGGAATGCCCGTTGCTCGCATCAGATGGATTTGGTAGCATTAAAGCGCGTTAAAACGTACGCCAGAAACACGACCGGGCAGACATGGTTTTCAGCATTAGCCTCCATGTCCATAGAAAAGGACCTACTCATGGACCTGAAGCGCACAGTTAAACTGTACAGAGCCACTGAGGTTTTCCTCAGGAAAGAAAGAAGGATGGATTTTATTTTCTAATGAGCAGGAGAGGAGGAGATCCATGCTGGACATTTATGTTGGTGAGTAGAAACATTTTATTAGTATTTTTTTTAATGTTTGTCATTTTATTTTGTTAATAATCAATAAATGGTAACGAAATAAAATGGCAAAATGAAATAATTCTATGTGTTCTGTTTCTATGCAATTTATATTGTGAATGACGTGGTGTGTGCAGCTGCGCCAACATGTTCAATTGTTTCGCGGTACAATTTTCTCCAAAACAAATGCAAATAATGTGTTTGCTTTACTTATTTATTTTATTGTCTCATCTCGTAAACCCGTCTTTCATTTCTGAGATTTGACGGTATCCGTGGTCAGCTTCCTACTCTCAACTGGGAATGCGAGTTTGATTTTAAAGACTCTGGAAATTATGTGTCTTGACCAGCCACTGGTGTGTGTGTGTGTGTGTGTGTGTGTGTGTGTGTGGTTTCTCCAACTGAGATGTCCTATTGATGGTATTTTAAGGTGTATTAAATTAGATTGGACTGAATAGGAAATCACTGAATGCCCAGGGGTGGAACGCACCGCCCGCCACTGCTAAAATGTAGTTTTTTAAAAATAAAGTTCCTCAAACTTAATGTGGTTTTGTTCTTTGGAAGATCTGCAACTTCAACTTTTTAAAAATTTACTGGTGAGTAATTTATTTTTTATGAAAAACAGAGTTCTGGTATTTCCACTAAAACATCACATGTCATGTGACACCGCTGGTTTTACATGAACTCAGAAAACAGAAACTTTGACATAAGAGCAGAAAAGCAGCCCTGAATATAAATGGGACATTTTTTTTTTGCTGTTTTATGGACGATAAAAAAACACGTTCATGAAATTCTCACAGAAAATGAACTCAACAGCTCTAGTCTTCACATTTAGGTACTTCCAGAATGAGCTGCTTCAGGGCTCAGTTACCTTAAAATGATGAGTGCATTTTCCCTGGCGATAGGGGGCAGTAATTACCTAAATCTTTGCAAGCAAGCAGTATTTTTGTGTTTGAGTAAGACCTTACCAATGGATGGCTTTTAGGGTCAAAATTCCCTAGGAGTGCACCCTTCAGCAAAATGACAAGCACATCAGACTCCCTTTCATAACTGGCAATGAGCAAAGAGGTAAATGTGCTAAACATCGTTTATCAATGGTGAAAGTTTCGTAACGATTTGTTACAAATCATTAAATTCATTTTGTCCTCATGGGCTCCCGTAGAAGGAAACATGGCGTCCAATATGGTGTTGCCCAGAGACTTGGGGTGTTTCTCAATGTCAAGGCCTAGGACACTGTCCTTCCCTGGTCAAAGGAAACAGTTAAATGGAACAGACTTGCATCACGTAACCGCTGCTTCCGCGGCAGTCACGTAACGCCATGTGACACGGGAGATAACGTTATATTTTATACGTATAAGTTTCAATATAAATATCAGAGGTGTGGACTGGAGTCATATGACTTGGACTCGAGTCATTATTTTAAGGACTTCTGACTTGACTTTATAAAATGTATAAAGACTTACGACTTGACTCGGCCTTGAACGCCAATGACTTGCAACTTGAATCGACTTGCATCTGTTGACTTGATGACTTGAGCATATTTGATATTTTAGCACAAAAGTGACGCGACATGGACGAAAATCATGAATCATTCTTCGTTCTGGGTTTGATTTACTGCTGAATGCAGCAGCACTTTGTTTATAATCAGTTTCAGTTGCACTTCCTGCTTGTTTGAGCAAATAAATGAAACTTTAAGAAGCTTTCATTCTGGAATCTACCTATCATTGTCATTAAACTGAAGTTGGACAGATTACTTGATTATGACTTGAAAATTCAAAGTGAAGGACTTGGACTTCCACATCATTGACTTTGGACTCGACTTGAGACTTGACTGGAAAGACTTGTGACTCGGACAGGTGGTCATCTAATGTACGCTTGCGAATAAGAATGTCGTCGACATAGATGAGGGTCCCCCGCTCTCGAGCATCGGGGCAGGCTTTGTTCAAGAAGATGTTGAACTCAGCAGGCGAGTTGGAATAACCAAAAGGACACCGGGTGAAGGTGTGCTGTCGGTTGGCAAAGGAGAAGGCAAGTTTGTGTTGGTCCGATTCGTGGACTGGAATCGTCCAAAATCCGGATGCAATGTCAAGTGTGGAAAAGTACTTAGCATCTTTCACTCTTGGAAGATCCTGCTCCAGGCGCGCCATTGGCCACCTAGACAAGGGAACCTGTTTGTTGAGTTGCCGGTAGTCAATGGTTAGTCGCCACTTACCATTAGGCTTCTTTACCGGCCACAACGGAGCCGAGTAGGTGCTGTTGCAGGGTCGAATGATCCCTTTAGCCAAGAGGCTGTCAATGATTTCCTGGACTGGTCCTTGGGATGCCAGGGGAATCTTGTATTGCCGCACAAAAGTCGGCGGGGCATGTGGCAGTGTAGGAATCCTGACTTCATGGATAGTGGTTAGACCACAGTCCAAGGAGTCAAGTGAAAGAAAATCTTTGTACTTTAGCAAAAGTTGTCGTAGTTTGTCTCGCTCGACCTCGTTGGTAAGAGCATCCGCTTGGTCTACGACTCTTTCAATCTGGGACAGAACTTCAGGGGGCCTCGCCGGTGGCTTTGAGCGTGGCAGTGAGCCCGCAGTCTCGCCCCCTTCCCGAACACTTACCACTAGACAGTGTGAGTCAGTGCCAGGCGGCGGATTGTACGGTTTAGGCCTTCTCACACATGCACACAGTCCTCTGGACTCGTAGCCGATGAAAGAGTCAAGGCGCTGGAGACAGTCCATACCTATGAGCATGGGCATGGTCATAGTCTCACCGATGTAGACGGGGTGTTTGAAGCTCATGGGCCCTATCGAGACCTGGAGCACAGTCTTCGAAGACAAGATCACTGGAATCCCAAAGAAATCGGTGACAGTTAACGAGCACGGAATGAGTGTGTGTGTGGGGGGTGCAGGCCCTCCTCACTATTCTCGCAGATGCCGTTATAAAAACCTTTGCTCATCATCGTAATGTCTGAACCCGTGTCTATCAAGGCGTCACAGCAATGTCCCTGTTGCACAGTGACCCTTACTGTGGGTCTACCAGTCCCCTCTTGCACGTCCATAGCTGCCAGCAGTATTTTGTCAGCCACGGCGATAGCGGTACCTGAGCAGTCGTCCACGGGTGTGTTCTTTATCATCACCACGGATGGAACGATCGGCGAGATGTAGGTGTTTTCCTGTGAGTCAGAACCTTTCAAAACATCAGCCTGCAGCATCCTCGTCTCATCTGGCGGCTTTTCGGCCAAACACGGGGTCGCTGCCCGTGTCGCCTGAAAATCACGCACAAAATGTTTCGCGTCCTCGACGTCCTGCTGAAGAGTGCAGATCATGTTCCTCATCCCAGTCATCATCGTTAGGAAATCGCTTTTCATCGCAGCCAGAAGTTGTGATGGCAATTGCATTGTTTCCTCTGGGCCCATCTTCCAATTAGTTATGAGTTCTTTAATTTACTAATCTTACCCAGAAACAACTCTTACCTGTAGACTTATTAAAGAATTAGTTACAGGGAAGCTTGGTTTTCGAATGAATTTTCGGGGCAAAACCGTTAAGTAATGCCACAAATATCACTCTCTGTTGACCTGCCCAAGATGGCCAGTCGAGCTACGAGTTGGGTCACTCATAATGGCGGATTGTTGCGCATGCGCTGTCCGTCACTCGGCGTCTAGCCACGTAGCCAAATCCAATTCTTTACACCGGAGCGTTTTAAAGAACTGCCACTAATGCAACCGACTGTACCTAGTACTCGAAGGCGTAGCGGATTTTGAGACGCAGAATTGCTGCGTCGAAACGGCTTGACAGTTTGTCAGTACGCGCCACCGTATGTCTCACCGGGGTGACTAGTTAGCACTTTTAACTAAGCTAGCGATTGCCTGGAGCGACCAGGTCTTAACGGTCCAAACGGACCAGTCCGAGCAACCAAGAGTGCGTGAGCGACGTGGTAATTTCTGGATTTTAGCGTCCTTACTCTGGGTGTGCAGAGGCGCTCTTCCATGTCTAACTTCAGCTATTAGCGAATTAATGCTAGTGGTTGAATGCTAGCGGATTAATGCTAGCGAGTTGACCGGGACGGTAGTCGGGGATCAAGCGGCTACCGGACGGAAGGAACTTCCGACGGGGATATCACGATCTCCGGTTTCACAAACAATTGCACACAGTGTCACAAACACACGCGACAAACAAGAAAACATACAGTATTCAACGTACCAGACAGGAAAACACACCTTCAGTGGTAGGCCTAAAATGGCCGCTATGTGCCACGTCAGCCTTAGAGTGGTTTGATGAAACAGCGCGTCCTGTGGAGGGTGACTAATGTCCAACCCCTCTTTACGTGAAGCAAATGTTTACCACTAGCTGAAAGAGAGAAGTTTGTTTTGTCTAACTCAGATGGCTCAAAGAGTGCAATTATGTCCCAAACTCGACACAAAGTGCTTTAAAACTGTGTAGATATCTGCCCAAGGCTCGCCATTAAATGTAGCGGAATATAAATGGTATATTCTTACACTTTTATTAAGGTTCAGAGATATCACTGATCCAAATCTGGCTGGATCATTAATCTTTGGACCGGGCCCTTAGATCAAAAGAGGTTGTTTTTACCACAGGGAATTTTATTCAAACACCTTGTATTGAATTAGAGACAAGAAGAGAGAGAGATGGGACGTTTAAGAATATTTCTTTTATAATTATTTGAAACAATTACCAGGACTAACTCTCTAATGATGGATGCAGATGGATGTAATGCTGAAGTGTTGGGGTGTGTGTGTGTCAGTTCAGAATCTCCATCTGGTGGAGGCGAGTCTGAGTGCGAGATGTTGTTGCCCTAACTGACCGGTATGGACTTCAGGAGGAAGACATGAGACGCAATCTATGCCGAACTACGTACCGTGCGGAGACCTCCGTGTTAGATCCGGATGCCAGGGTCCTCGGACCCTCCTTGTGCTGGAACTGGTGAAACAGCGTCGGCAGCATGACAAACCAGTCTGAGGATCGCCTCCCGGTACAACGGCAGGTTTCAGCGTCCCGTAGAGACCCCCCTTATTGGGTCATAGAGTTCAGCTTTTATTCTGAAGGAACCGTCGTCTTGTTGATAAAACGACAGAGTTTTCCAGCTTGACAGTTCTCAGCTTAAAAGTAGAAAATACAGCTGGCCAGTCTGTACTTCACTAAAGCCGGGCGTACACTGTGCGACTTTTTCACTCGTAGCACTCAGCTTCAACTCAAACTGTACGACTTCCTCGCAGAGCAGATCTCACGAGTCATGTGCTCACACTGTACGACCCAGTTCTCGCATGCGACCTGACTGCTCACACTGTACGTCTGGTAGCAACACGTCGGCCCTAAAAATATGCTAAAAATAGCCGTTTTTACTCAACACGTCAGACTTTTTTGTCTTGTTTTGCCTGTTGTCCTTCGGGAGTGCTGCAGGAGGACACAAGGATTTATGGGGGTTGGATGAGGAAAACGAAATAAAGAAAGTAAATCTGTGTTTAGTGATGAGTTTAATTTGACATGAACACGACAAACACGCTTTCTTGACAATCTTTGTGAGTAAAAAAAACGTGTAGAAACAAAAACGAACAGCGTGTGTTATTAGGGAAATAGCGAGCGACCGGCATTGATGCAGGGATTGCACATGTGCCGTGAGCGGTTCTGATACTTTTTGGGTCGTAGCTGCTCGCAGCGCCGCTTCAACAGTGCGATCCCCTCACGAGGGACGAGCAAAATATTAAACACGCCAGAAGTCCGTGCGACCTCACGACTGCTGATCGGCAGCTGGTCACGTGGTGTTAATCGCCTCTCGTAACCCCCTGTACACTACACGACCGCTCGGCGCAAAACTCGCCCCGATCTTGTGGATTCTCGCACGACTGGAAAATTGGCTCAAAAAAGTGAAAAAGTCGCACAGCGTACGCCCGGCTTTAGCGATGATGGACATCAGACGGATTTGAGAGCTGATTGAACTCACGTTGGAACTACGTTGAAACTTGTGATGGAACTAAGTTAAAATGGCGTTGTTCTGTTTCATTAAGCTTAGATGTTTTTGATTCTTAGCGAATCGGAGTGGACAGATTAACTAAACACCACAGAGCTCTGCCACGCATCAGAGAGGAAGTTCTGATTGGATGAGTGAACAATGTGTCATGTGTTTACCTTATGTGGATCAGGATGTCTAGCTCAGTTAGCCCACGTCCTGTTATTCATTAAACACATAAATCATAACATTGTGATTTCACAGATCACAGATTATTATTGACCATCAGTTGTTTTGATTAGCTTTATTAGAAATAAAGTTCTTTGATTAACTAATGAAAAGCGTTCGTCCTTCTTCTGTCTTCTTTGCTGGAATGTAAACACCAGAAGCAAGCGCACGATGCAACTTATGCACACTGTCACTGTGTCAAAGGGCAGCTGTTAAGGGCAGAAATGGCATATTCATAACGCTACACAAAGCAGTGACTTGGTCACACCTCTGGTAAACATATAACAAGCCTTTTACTTTTTAGATTGCGTTCAATTAAATATGTGAGTTTCTACCCGCTAGCCACCGAAGCTGCAACTACTAGCAACTAACCAACCATAGAGAACTTCTTTGGATCTAAATTAAAAAAAAAACATTTTAAATTAGTTGACTTACATTTAAACTTGAAATTTGGCCCCTAAAGTAGCTGCCAGCTTCTGATCTGCCATCCTCTTGAAAATACCGCGGTGTATTCTGGGTAATTTTTGACCAAGGCTAGGCTACACCTCCCCTGTATCCTTGCTCAGCTAGCTAACCGGCTAACAAATGGAGAACAGCATGACCATTGGAACACGTCTTGACGGTTCCTGATGACATATCTCCTAGGCAACCGGAGCGGGGCCAAGACATCAAGGCGAGGTTCCTCGGCATTGAGAATCACACTTAGACACACTCATGTATTTTAGACACGATTTAAAGGTCGTGTGTTACAAAGCCTCCAATATTTTTCAACAACTGGGTATCATTTAATTCTTTTTCAACATTTCGATGGATGTTTCCAGAGATTAACGATGAAAACTACACATTTTCTCTTTAAGGAATAAAAGATGCTGCTGGCAGCGCCCACCTCATCCCTGATTGGGCGCTATGAGACAAGGAGCTCAAATATCTGGGAGGTGCTTGCAGTAGAGCTACTGTTTCTCCAGTGCCTTACCCCTTCTTTCCACTGCAAGTGAAAGCGCCGCAAAACGACCACAAAATATTTTATGTGGCAAATAGTTGCCGTTAGTGGGTGAGTTCCTTTCCACCAGCAGCTAAGCGTAACATTTTGGACACGCCCCAGAAGCGACGGGACGCCATCATTACGTTTCAAGTCTATTTTTTATGCGCTACACTTCCAAAACACGTCAAACTCCACAGTTTAGATCACACCAGACAGGAAGTCAAACACTAAAGCAGGAAACTTTCAAAATAAAAGTCACATGCATGCCATTTCCTGTTATGACCCCTGTGGGGTGTGTAAAAAGAAATTAGACCAGACCTTCATTTGATACATGCAGCGGTCTTTCTCCTTGCTGTGTGTGGACTTCTTTGTGAAGTTCTCCCGTGATTTTGTGACATCACACGATCAGCTGTGTGGAACACTCTTCCTCCCGTTTCGCGTCTGAATCGCCCCCTCTAATGGGAATGAGCTCACTGGTAAAACGTTGCCATTACGTCACGTGACCACTTTCACAGCTGGTGGAAAGAAGGGGTAAAGGTGTGTTTCTGCGCCAGTTTTCCTTAATGTGCCATAACAGGGACTTTTTGAAATAGCTTGTGTCCGGCTCATTATTCCTGAAACCAAACTGAACAGAAAACGGATGTTTTTGCTCCCGTTTGGATGCCGTAGGGACCTGCATGGCAGCACAAGACAGACCTCGTCCATGCTACACCATGACACGGCTCAGTCAGACCCTTTACACTTACACTTCTGGGTTTTCATGACTCGTAATTTTACGTGTTCGTCAAACTTCTTTCCCAGTTTATGCATCAGATTTGCTTCATAGATTGTTGCAAACACTCATTTGCTGTTGGGATTTACAGAAGAAACCTTCGTTGTTCAGAGGTTTCTAGTTTCAAATGTACTTCAAACTTGAACTGGAATAATTGTGTTTTGGTGCTGGAATCATGGGTTGGTTCCGTTGCCATGACAGCAACAGGCTGCTGTAAATACCCAAACCAAACATACCTGCATGCTACATTTAAACTGAAAAATGATGCTAGAAAAAACAGCTGTCAGAGATCTGAACGGGTTTAACGGCCAGGCTAATGTGCTCCACATGTGGAATGGGATCTGCAGACACAGAACTCCGCTTGGTCCAATCCCAGATACGTTTACAGATTATCCAGCCATCAGGTTCAGTACAAGACTTTATTAATTGCATATTTCAAACAGGTGCCAACAAATAAGTGACATCACTTCTACACAAAGAAAAGCTGCTTCAGGTAACCTCAGCCAGGAAACCCTGACTGTAGGAGTACTCCTCCAACAGGTGCCTGACCAGACTCGCACACAAACACTTGGACTGGTCCCTCAGTCATGCAATATTAGGGACCAGATGAACATTGAGCTGGTGATCCAAACAATTAAAGCTTTAACAGCCTCTAACGAACCCTAACGTGGGTGTAGAGGACAGAAACGCCAGAATAAGGATGGTTCGGATGTGAAGAAAGAAGGTGCAGAAATTCCTACAACAAAATTCCTGAACCATTCCCACACCCTGAAGTCAGACTTTCCATGGCTCCGTGGAACAGAAACATAACACACAACGAGGCTAAAGCTGCACATGTGTGTGGTGTAGGTGAGCTTCAGTAAAGATGAGCCTCAAACATAAAAGGTCCTGAGATTTCCTCCATTCACCACATCAAAGGCAAACAGCATGGTGGTCTGGCTTCCTAAGTGCTTCTGTGCAAATGTTTGCAGCATCTTTGTACAGAAAATGTCCGTTCATCCAATCCTGGACGAGCCAACGTTGAAACCACCGACAAAAAGATCCTGGCCCCTACTCCAGCTCGGGTCCCTGGAGCCAGGCGCTGTTATCTGGGTGAGACGGGGGGGCTGGAGAAGGAACAGGCAGACTGAAGCTTGAAGAACTGGGAGGGGGCGGTGGAGATGGGGGACATCCTTTGGGGGCTGCTCGGGTCCCCATTATGGAGCTTCCAGAGGAGCTCCTCGTTCTCCATAGACAGGCGCTTGTTCACCTTGGACTCCTTCTGAAGGGACTCCTGCAGCATGGCCTGGTCCTGGGACAGCTGTCTGCAGGACGTCCGCACAGACAAGTCACTTCACATTCATTATCCTCCAATTACCGTAGGTAAAACACAGTTTGAGGGATCTGACCTGGACAGAGCAGCGTGCCGTTCCATACGAGCTTTCAGGTCTTCATTCTCCTGCTGGACTTTTATCAGTCTCTCCTCCAATGTCACGTTTTTATCCGTCTGTTAAACACGTGAAGAAACATCATGTTTACCCCTTCTTCTCCTCGTTCATCCTTAAATATGTTGCTTTCACTGAAATTTGATGGTGTTCTCACCAGTTTCTTGATCTCCACCAGCTTCTTCTCCTGCTGGTGAAGGTGTTTGTTCTTCAGATCCAGAATGACTTTCAGACTTTCTAGCTCCTGCTCCAAATACAGAGTGTGGGAATCCTTCTGCAGGGACAAAACAGGTTCCAGCAAGGTGTTTGAAGGTCTGGTGAGATTTAAGAGTTCATGAATGTGAGCAAAAAGTAATTCCAACCAACAGGGGGCACCAGAGAGCCCCGAAAAGCTGCTGAACCCAAGAGCTGAGCAGGATATGGTGTCGGGTTAATGATGTCTCCGTACCATGACATCAGTAACAGCTGCGTCACACCAAGACTACAACAAGTCATCTAGTAACTCAAACCATCCCAAGATGTTACGGACATATTTATGATAAAGGTGTGAGTGAATTGTTTGGTCCCATGTTTCCCAGAGACTAACTAATGTCAGACATGCAGCTAGAAAATGTTCTGTGTGATGGAGAAAGTTGGGAAACGGCAAAGAGACTCTGCTGTAAAACAGAAATGTGCTTTAGAAGAGGAGCTTTGATGATCTCGGCTAGAAGGAGGACCCCAAACGGAATCTGCAGCAAATTGAAGCAGACACCAAATTTAATAAAGTGTGTGTGTGTGTGTGTGTGTGTGTGTGTGTCTGCTCTGTCTTCTCGATCCCCAGTGAGTCGTGGAGGATGGCTGCTTATACTGAGCCAGGATTCTCTGGAGGTTTCTTCCTGTTAAAAGGGAGTTTTCCTCTCCACTGTCGCTGCATGCTTGCTTAGTATGAGGATTGCTGTATAGAGCTCCGGAACCCACGTGACTCTGAGTTAGTGGACGCCATTTTGGCATGCAAAAAAGGTAAACAAACACGGATGTAACCATGAACATGAACGGGATCCGCTTGGACTTTACTTCGTCGGAGTTTACTTCACACTTTAAAACAGAAGAAATCGTTTTATATAGTCAGAAATTAAATAGACTAAACATCTCCGACCCTTACCGTGCCCCTGGGATACTTTTTAAAAACGCCAGAAGCTGTCGGAGCGAACTTCTTACCCGACCTGGCCGGGGAACCCCTTGGGATTTACCCGGAGGAGCTGGCTCCGGCGGCTGGGGAGAGGGAAGCCACGCTACTGCCCCCGCAACCCGACTCCAGATACGCGGATGAAAATGGATGGATGGACGGACAAATAACAGATTTACACGTAAGTAGTCTCGGTGAGACGGATAATAGCAATCCAAAGTGCTTTTTATGTGTGATCTGACAACTGATCAACCATTGCTTATAAATTAAATACAGCTTAGCCGGTTGATTGCTGTCATCATAAAACACGTAAACGGCAGCACGCAGAACTCACGAGGCAACGTTTTACGTGATGTTTACTTGTTGCTATGAGTAATAAGACAGAAAAAGCCACGCCAAAATAAGTTTAGGAAGCCCACTAAGAATCGTAATAAAAACATTTAAAATAAATACCATACACAGTTGAGGAAACGTTGGTTTAAGTACCTGATATGAAGCGGTCGCTGCATAAGTGAAAACCTTTACTCTCGGGATCCCACAGCTTCATTTCAGCCCGGTCACTAGCGCGTTTTATTACAATGATCCAACGTTTGCGACGCTCCGGATCTTGGGGAATCCTGTAGATGGCTCATTCCTTATGTCGTCCGCGTCTGTTCTACATCCTGGAGCACAACAGGAATCTACCATATTTCCTGTTTGATTGAGTTTTCTGACAATAACAAATAGTCCAGCTGCCGGCTTCTGCCTGCCTAATGGCGCCGTTTCGATTTGAACTGTTGCATGCCGGGAGAAGTGACATCAACTCCCGGAGCTCTATTGTCAGTGACTTGATGCAACTTGCTGGGTTCCTTATATAGGAAACATTATTTCTGATTGGCTTAATGAACTGACCTGGACTGGAATGTTTATTATGTGAAGTGCCTTGAGACGACTCTTGTCGTGATTTGGCGCTATATAAATAAACTTGAATTGAATAAGTGGGTTCAGATGGAATATTTATTTTGTGATGCATCTCGAGATGAGTCTTGTTGTGGTTTGGCTTTATAAACAACTGTTGTCCTCAGCTAGGTCAAACAAAGCTTGTCAGAGGCAAGATGGACATATGTGTCCAACCCTAACCTGTCCAACTTCACGCTGATAAGAGTGACTTCTGTCTCACAGTGGACACCAAGTCCACATCGTGTCTGCCCAGACTGAACAGCTGGATCATTTTAACTCTGACTTCTTCCATCCAGGAGCTAACGGCAGAAAAACGAGTTCATTAGAGGAACCGACTCTCCTGTTATGATACTGTTTCGTTATTTCCACCTTTAACGCTCAGAGGCAAACGCCACAGGAGTCATGAGTTGTTTGAACACTGTCAGCGATAGACCTACAGGTACCTGCGTGTGTTCAGCCAGCTCCTTCCTCCTGTTCTCGTGTGCTGCCAGCTTCTCCATCAGAGCATTATTCTTTACCGTCAGCTCCTCGAGCTCTCTCTGTGGGTGAAAAACAACGGAGGTCACGCTTTAAGAAGCTCTGTGGTTTTAGTGAAGGGTTGTGGGAAAAGGAAAAGCTTACACGCAGAAGAAACTCGGTATCTTTGCAAGTTTTCTCACAGCGCTGCAGCTCCTGAGTGTGGGCGTTCCTGAGCGCTGAAAGTAGACACGTTTCTGTAAATCTACTGTGGATTTAAGTTTGAGGCAACTTGTCTCACATGACTTACTGATCTAACTAAAGGAACGGGTATTTTGTTGCCATTTCACACCCAGTAAAATAATAATAATAATATTCTAACCTTTTTATGAAAGTTGGACTGCGCTTCTCTCACCTTGCAGGGAGCTGTCATGCTGCTGTTTGACCCTCTGCAGCTGCTCCTCATGGCTGCTCTCGAGTTTCTGCTTCGTGGCTTCATGACTGGCTTTCAGCTCCTCCATCTAAAAAGGTAAAAGCAGCACATTTCAAACCAACTAATGGGTGTTCACCACTAGAACACAAGCACTCTGCTGCTGGTTGCTAAGACCTTACACATCAATCACATTTCCACTCAGCAGATCAGGTAAAGAGACGAACCTGCTGCAGCATCAGAGTCCTGCACTCGTCAGCCTCCTCCTGGCAGGCGAGGCGGCTTTTGTCCCACTCAGCCTGGTAGCTGGTCTTCTGTTCCAGCTCAGCCAAGTCCTTCTGGTGCTGCTCCTGCAGCCTCTGGGCTGCATCCTGCAGAGTAGCACGCAGCTCTTCCTTCTCCTTCTCCAGACGCACACATGAGTGGACAGAGCTAGCTGTAGACACACCAGGAGGCAGCAGACAGAAGTAACAGTTTGTAGCCGCTCCAGAATCAGGACGCCTTCAGCCAGGTGTACGACTTCAGTCTCCAAAAGGACTGGAAGCGGTGATAAAGTGGGAGGTGGCTGTGCATTAGACCATCTGCTGCTCAGTTATGTCAGATATGACGAAAAGTGAACATTTTTGATTTACTTCACAGCGATCCCATAAAGATGTGTTTTCTATCAGTGGACCTTTGTCTCATCCTCCATATTAGAACCAAACATAAATAAGAAGTGTTATCTGAGACATCCGCTAACTCAAGAACCCATCGCTAGCTGAGGAAGATCCGAGACGTGAAACCAGTCGGTGCGGTTTTAAGTCGAGCTAGAGCAATGACCGAGCCAATAAGGGGCCAGAATGGCAGCTGGTATATAGATCACACGTTCGTCAGAAAACCGAATGACTCCACCCCGCTAAGGTAAGTGGCAACACGCACCCTTCGTGTCGACAAGCTTTCAGTTCGCCTATAGCATCGTAAACGGTGAAGGAGTAACCGGCGGGGAGTGAAGCAGGCGGCTGAAGCACAACGACAGAAAAAATGGATGACAACAACGCCGCAGAACAGCTTATTTGGTCCGTACGTTCCTGTTGGATGGTGTTACACGAGTTACATTATATTATACATATTATCACAGGAGCACTTCCGCAGAGAAGTTCGATTCTCTAACCGTCGTGTCAGGGCATCTTAGCTGGATTAGAAGTAGTAACGTTTGGTTCTGCCAGACTATAATCTGGTTTTCTGAAACTGCACATAAACGCACGGACAACCCGGGAGGCCCCGTACCAGAACCTGGACTGATATCCAACACCGATGCTGCTGTGATGACCAAAAATTATTATTTACTGTTATTAGAAATATTCCTTCAGACCTGAAAAGTTTGAAAGTGACCACACCACCTACACCGTTTCTGCTTCAAACACCCCCACAATCCTGTGCTGCATCACTGTCACATGACCAAACAAATACCACATGGACCACCCCTCCCCCCCCTGAAACACGGATGCAAACAGCAACATGATGTAAACAAATGTAGGTAGT